TTTTTTTAGTCAAAATGTTATATTAGCACCAAATTTTATTAGAAGCTAGCTACAATTACTAATACATTAAATCATGATTAGTTTCAACTGGTTTAGGGGCCCCTGGGGAAAAAACAGCTGTGCATCCTCTCTGATTCCCTCAAAATATGAACCCTGCTGCCTCCAAGTTCTCTTAAATTATTGTTAAATTAAATATTAGTTTGTTTTGGAAAATGCATACCATGACTCAGATGTACAGTACTATTCAAAGCTCTTGAGCCACCCCTGTATTTCTTTACATTTTCCTTCCAATGAACCAGATGTTTAAAGCAATAGTTCTCCAGACTTTCTCAAGGCTTTGCTGCTTTTTCACTCATTTTCAGTTGAGCCCTTGTACTTGACCATTTTGAGAAAAATGTTTTTTGTTTGTTAAGCTTCTCAACACTGACCTATCACTAAAAAATTTAAAATACATCTAACTTAAGTGATGAAACAATGCTGTGTCTACACAAAGAACCACTTTTAGGCAATTTTTTACTAGTTGCCTGTCACAAAGCGCATCATTTGTTCCAATTTTTTAGTTAAATCTATGAAATATCTTAAACATAACACAGTTTGGCAGATGAAAAATAGTATTTTTGCACCAGGAAGTTGTTTCCCAAAGAGCTATTAGCTGAAAATGTGACCTATCTTGGTATGGTGTGCAGTGTGTCCTTAAAACATTTAAGGAAATTGGAAAAAGGAAGATCAAAAGACGAAATGGGAGGCCTAAAAAACTCTCTACAGCAGATACCAGCAGATTTTGATCTAACATGCAATACCATCTGGAAAGCATCTGACTGGCAACAGATCAGTCGCACATCATCAGGAAAATTATCGGTCACTGACCTCCCCGGAGTCCAAACCAAGGAAGATATACAGAAAAGAGGGGTAGCTCAAGACTAGATTTTTACACTGAGCCCCTCAACAACATAGGACTGGATTGATGGCAGACAACCCACCTTAGTCGGTACTGTATTTCTAACGATGAGGGTCAAGACACTTGAAAGTTCAAACAGTTCAGTAACGCTACAAATTCTTTCTTCCGCAAAGTTCATTGGACACCATAACCTTCAGGATGATGAGATTCTGTTCAGAGCTCCTATGTTAGTCTGATTTAATTTTCGGTCAGTGTGCCTGATAACTCACATCAGAAGGTAAATCAACCTGGGAGGAACATGAATGTATCTGAGCTACAGAATTCAACCAACTGCAAGACGCTGCCAGTCAATGCTCAAGTCAAAATGTAGAATGATCCATTTGAGGGAACTGCTGCCCCTTCAGGTTGCTTGTAAAGTTTCCTGGAGCATCGTAGCCCTGAGACATACATCATACACAGAAGGTGCTATCCTGTGTTTGAGCTTCATGGGTGTGCCTTTTCCCCCTCTTCGGTACCCAAAAGATTTATGAAACTTTGCTACGAACTAGATTCGTTGCTTCAGCAGAGTCATCTGTAACATCCGTGATGCCTGAATTCACCTGCTGCTACATATTTTTATATATTGTGAAAGGGCAAAATGAAACAGTGATTATGTTTGCTCCTGATACAACCACAGCATTGGGGAGAAAAATCACAGTCAGGTTTGATTTTTTTGCTCCTTTCCTGTCCCGTGTAATTACAGTGATTGTAATTCATGTGGCACTGCTAAAATGGCTGCACAAAGAAAATATAACGTACAGTATGACAGAGCACGTGCATGTATACTGACTGCAGCATTCAGCGAGCTGCACAGTCTTCGCTCCAAGGTTGAATTCAAGCTTTGATTTATGCAACATTTAACTGGCTGCTTTTCAAGGTAAGCCCTTTGTTCAGCCATAATTATGATAGCGGAAAATAACGCATTCAGCAGTGGGTCACTGAGCGACGAGAGCTTCTTTTCAATCATACGCGGACAAGTGCAGCCATTATCAAAGCATTACACAACCTCAGAATCCAGGACACGTGAACAATGTGGCTTTAACTCAGCAAAATAGTTCATCGGAGACATTTTCCATATGTCTAATGTGAGATTGCGCACACTTGTGTAATATTCTGTGAGAATATTTAAACTTCTTTGATTTAAAAAGATGACCTGAATCTGTGTTTCTGAACTGAACACTTGGGGTGCTGACATTCAAAAGTGTGTGATTGTAACACTTATTGTTTCTAAACCAGCCATATATACTTATACAACATTAAATAGATTAACCCGGGGATGATTTAAGTCTACTGTAAAGCCTCGCCAAATATGGAAACTATTTCTTAAAAGGACTGCACTCAGTCGCTGGGCGACACTGGGTGTTATATCTCCAAATGTACATACATACAGTCTATGTGTGTGTGTGCGTGCGCCTGTGAATGTGTGTGTGTGTGTGTATTACCTTCATTATGACCTCATTTCAACTCCAAAGTGATTCCTTTTTTTGCCCCATTTGATCCGAAGTGGAATGTCATCGCTTATTATTATTTCCGGTGAACCTGAAATATCTCTGTGGAGAATTTTATCAATGTATTACTATGATTTTATCAAAGTATAATTACTATGATTGTTCCAGTGTCTATCATTACCATATTACTGCTATTATTCTGATGATTTGAAGTATAATATGAGCCTCTGTGTTTTCTGTATGTGTGAATATTCAATAAATAGGTGTGAACAATGTGTTATTGTTATATGTAGTCGATATGAGAACCTAAATGAAGGATTCGGGAGGCATGCAAGAGAGATTCAGTGCAGGCTGAAAAGGCTGAATAGAAGATGTGCACATCAGGAAAGCAAAAAGACAACAAAAGGAACAGCAGCGAGTGGATTAAGATATGTTGGGTAAATGGGTAGTTAAAGAGGCTGAGATGTGGAGTTGCAGAGAAATGAGTGACAGGAGCCAATAAGGATGGGGCAGACAATTACAGATGAGAGGGAAAAAGACAAAGACAGGAAGTAAAACCAACCAAGAGATGAGTCTAACCAAATAAAATTACTAACCTTGTCAGTTAGTCAGACATAGGGTTTTAATTTGAAGCATCATTGTCAAGTATAATTTTTAGGCTCTTGCACTTTACACGAGTGTCCCATTTTATTCTACTTTATATATCTTTATTTTATTTACTTTATTTTTAATTTAAACACCATAATACAAAAAATACATTGAAAACAATTCAAGATGCACACTATAGTTCCTGTGCTTGCGCTATGAACAAATCATAATAGTTAATGGTTGTTGTTAAATCCTGTTCAGATAACAATATATGGATACATACATAAATAATGGAAAGTGGTTTGCAAATTCTCTTACAAGTATCAGAAGAGCCCCAAGTTTTTGCTGTTGCATTACCCCCTTTAGCCACTAGGTGGCTCAGAATTCAGTTTTATATTTTACTCCAATACATGAGGTGCGCAGAACAGCAAATTAGTGATTTTCTAACTCCTCAGTAATTATCTGAAGAATAAAAAAGTCAAGTTTTTGATTCGGATAAAATCATTAGTTTGTCCCCTGGTGTGTCTCTAGGGACCTATTGGAGGGGCCAGACAGAGTTTGGAAGCTACCCAAAATGACAGCGTGCAAAAAATTCTATATTATATTTAAAAAATATTTTATATATTTATTATATGCATGTATACATATTTGCATGTGTTGTTACGTTACATATAAAAGCACTCAGGGCAGTCAGCACTTCCTCACCTTTAAATAACATCAAATCATACCAAATTTAAAAAAAACCCTGCAGATAAAGAGCCATTCATTCTTTATCTGTGGTGTTTCTGCTTCCTGCTGTTTTCAGGTCAGCAGAGGCACCACAGGGCAACACCCTCCCCCTGCACTCACCAATAACAACCAGCATGAGGAGGAGACTAGTGCATGAAAACGGCAAC